ATGTCCTAGTTATTTCTAGTTCATATGCCATTCCTTAACATTAACCTTATATTACAATAGGGTTTGTTTGTTTTTTTACTTCTCATCCTTCACCAAAAACTGTGCACTTCTCAATTCCTGCACATACAATAGTTTAACATTTGCAACATCTACAAGTGAGCTTACTCCACGAATTAAAAAATCCACAATAAATTAGAAATTATAATTTCTAAGATAAATTACTTTCCATCCTTCTGTATGTATGAAAACCCAATAGTTCACTTTTACTAGGGGCTTTCCCTTTTCCCTAGGTGTTTTCCCTTTTCTACTTATCTACGTAGTCCATTCGGTTAAAGATTCTGTCCAGAATTCTTAAATTCTCAGTCTGGCTTGGAAATAGATGGTGTCTTCTCTGAGGACCTCTGGGCTCTACCCTTTCTCTGAGCACCCCAAATTTCCCTCCTATCTCAGCTGCTGTGGAAAGAAGGAGTGGCGGTTGCAGCTGTTATTGGACGGTCAAGACATCATTGATCAACCTGATATAGTCATTTTGCAGCAGTTGTTCAAGGAAAAGCATAATAAGCATCTCCTAGCCTTCTCCCTCTGTGATTTACCCTACCTTATTGAATTTCTTGGGCCACTCAATGGCTTCTGGGTTAATGGTGAACTTTATGCTAGCAGACGTCTCTCTCCTTATATTCCCAATTTTCACAATGTCATGAGACTTATTCGGAAACATCACCCAGTTCACAATATCAAAGTCCGCTGGTAGCTCCCAGTTCTCATCCAAGCACAGCCTGCCTCTGGAAGTATTCAGACACTGGATTTCTCTTAAGAAAGGGTGAAGCTGGAACGACAGGGGAAAGCACCAGCATTAAGAAAACGGGAAGCCAAGATGGATATCTCAGTCCTACTCACTTCGACCTCTTCTGATTTGGGGCCTGGGTGTATCTCATGTAGACTGGAATTCCTATTCAGCCATTTATATTACTACAGAACCTGCAAGTGCTCCAATTTTCCAGGGATGTCCCTGAATTAGAGGGTTTTGCATTTGATCCTGGAATTTCCCACTTTTCCTTAGAATGTTCCTATGTTCATTGGAGAAATGTTGGCAGATGTGGAGTTATCCAACCTACAAGCTGTCCAATCCTATATCGGGAATTTTTAATATGTTTAATATTTTAGTATGAATTTCTTTATTTTGGGAGCTGCCCAGAGTGAGGAGGCAACTGAAGAAGATGTATAAACAGTGCTATTATTCTAGAAAAGAAGGTGCCAGAACTCACCATGAACACCTCCCTCTGAGAATGGCAATGGCACCCACCTGAAAGGTGCCAGAAACTGAGTTCCAGCGAGTTACCCTCTGAAAAAAAGCCCTGGCTATAAACAGTAAGATTATCATTATGGAATGCGCCGTCTCTATTTTCAACAGAGAAATGTTGGGTGGTATGCTACTATTACTAATACTAATAGTAACTATGATATTTTGCAGGTTTATCCACAGTCAAGATCAGCATCTGTGTGGACTGCAGTTTGCAAAAAGGGGAAGGAAATACCTGCCACGGCTGTAGCCTTTGGGGTCCCCATTGCTCTCCTTCCTCCACCATCAGCCTCCTCTGGGATCTCGATGAAAGCGAAGCATGCAAGGCCTGAGCCACAGCTTGAACATGGATGTAAGTGCCATAGCTGTCTGGAGACAGGGCTCTCTCACGCACCTCTTGGGGTAATGGCTGCAGTTTCTCCTCCTCTCTGCATCTTATCCTGCCTTTCACGGACAACAAATGCTTTGAATATGAACACTGAAATGCTTGATTGAAATAATCCAGAAGATTGGACAGCGATTTATAGTTGTCACCTTTGCTGCTCCTTATTCCAGTCTGAATTGCAAAGGACAGAGAACCATAGAGGTGCTGGAAGTAATTTGGAGTGATGTAATAGCCAGTTCTGATTTCTAGCAAAGCTGTTGTGATCCAGACTTTTGCCCCTATTTCCTTCTCATATACCATGTTTATTGCCAGGAGCCGAATGATGCCCATTGAATTGGTTACATAGTAAAAAAATACCCCAACTTGTCTCCATAGGAAAAAAGGTTCCCCAGGCCTGATAAATTGACCTGGATCATTTTCTGGTACTCTTTTTGATAAAGCAATGCAGATCCCTTTGCTGAGCAGCAGAGGTTTCACAGCGCTCACAAATCTGTCTCCACTGTCATTGTCTGGAGTGAAGAGGCCAATCCACGTCCATCCAAAATGCAGGAGCAATTCAACAATCCCCTGGTACTGACTTTCCTCTTTGGGACTCATCTGGTAGACAAAAGGGAACAGGGTTTTACCTTCGAGAAACTGGGCAGTGAAGCCATAACTGATCTAGCAAGGAAAGCAAAAGATCAGCAATTTATTTAACTTTCAGGATAACGGGTATTTAATCATCTGAAATGACTGATATCTAAATCACTGGTGGCAGAAGATGATGGGAGTTTTAGTCGGAAACATCTGGAGATGTCAAGTTGGTGAAGGCTCAGTTTTGAAAAAGGGATGTTGGATCCATAGCTCAGGATTTTCCCATTTTTAAAAATATCCCCACTTGACCCCTCCAAAGAGAAAATAGAATTTTACACAGTTGGAATTCTCTGTGCTTCCATGCTCTCCCACTACTTACCTGTGGGATTTTGTAGATGCCTGACAAGGCTGAAATCACTCTTGAGATGAAAGTGTTGCTTCTTTCAAGAACAGCCAGCAGGTGATTCTGTTCTCCACAGTGATAATTGGGAATATTGCATCCACTGCCTGCAAGCAGCTCTAGCATGGCGTCCGAAGTCATCCTTGCATCAAAATAGTTCTCATAGATGTTGTAGCCCAGGGTGATGTTGGGTAAGAGCCTGAGATCCTGGTTGATCTCTTGGATGGTGAACAGGAAAGACAACATGTGCCAGTAGAACCTAGGTGCCTCCCTGCAATAAATGAATTCTTTAAAAAGAGTGAAACTGGCATTCGTATGAATGGGGGTGGGGACATTATATGATCCACAAAGATTAATATTTGTTTGTTTCTTTGTTTTTCCATCCTTCTGCATTGACATCAAACCTTTTCCTGTCTAGCATAGAAGAAAAATTTGGAAATCTCTGCTCCATGACCGGAGCTTTGATGCAAACAGCAGACAGAGCTGTTCAACAGTGGAAGAGACTCCCTCCGAAGGTGACCATGTGTCATGGATGCTTCAGGTGAGATTCCTCCGGGTCCCTTCCATCTCTACCACTCTATGATTCTATTCTACTATGGTTTTATGAGTAAGAAATGAAGGCGCCCCTCAAAATGTGTGATATACTGGGAAGTTGCTGCAAAGGCTGCTTTTTTTGCAGTAGTCTTTGGCTTCTTCCAAGGGGCTAGACTATAGGTAGATAAGAGACAATTTTATTGAAGGAGGGGAAGCACCAAATACCTCAGTCCCCTTTGAGTTACATATGAGGCCTGGTGGCTTGCAGGTTTGAGTGTGTGGTAAAATTATAATTTTGTCCATATTCTGGATCAGAGACTACACCAATGAGGACACCCCCTGCTGTATAATTCCTTTTCGCATGTTACCGATATTACTCCACGAAGAAGGAAGTCTCCTTACTCAAATTACCATATTTTTTGCACCATAACACTCACTTTTTTCCTCCTAGAAAGTAAGGGGAAATGTCAGTGCGTGTTATGGAGCGAATGCCTGTGGGTGGCGGGGGGGGGGTCTGCTGCAGTCGCGAGCAGAGGATCCATGGTTCCCCTTCCTTCCCTCCTCCGTGGCTCGCTTTGGGAGAAGAGCCGCTGAGTGGGGAGGAGAGAGGGGCAGAGAGCCTGCTTGCTTTAAAGGAGCAAAGCTCCTTCTTTAAAGGTGTAAGCGGCTCCTGTCCGGTTGGTTCCTTTAAAGCAAGCAGGCTCTCTGCCCCTCTCTCCCACCCACTCAGCTCGCTACATAGCAGCAAAGCTTTTCAGCTCGCTAAGCCAGGGATGAGCGGGGAGGAGGGAGAAAAGCAGAGCCTGCTTGCTTTAAAGGAGCAAAGGGGAGAGGAGAAGAGCCTTCTCCCCCTCTTCTTCATTATTAGCAGCATCCTTCTCCACCCACCCCACACGTGCTCCTTGTCCCTTGAGTGCTTTTCCTTCCCTCCCCACTTAAAACGTGGTTACAAAGCATGGATCCACATGCATCCTCAGGATTTTTGCACTGGGTCACCCCAAATTCACCATCAGATCACATAGCATGTCCATGGCTACATCTTGCACCCCAAAAATCACGCACCCACTGTTGCCTGGGGCCGCAGTGGTGCAAAAATGTGGTTACAAAGCATGTCTCCACATGGATCCTTAGGATTTTTGCATTGGGCTACTCCAAACTCACTGTCAGATCACAGATCTGTGGCCACAGGATGAACCACAAAAATCATACATCCACTGTTTCCTTTAGAATATTTTTTTTTCTTGTTTTCCTCCTCTAAAAACTATGTGCGTGTTATGGTCGGGTGCCGTGTTATAGAGCGAAAAATACGGCATTTCATTTATCATTTCAATTAAAGTACATCTTTTCTGCTCTTCAGCCATCAAACATCACCCAAAGGATCTTAATTTCCATTTGTAAAACTGTAGCATTCCTTAACAGCAGAGTAATGAATCGTCCAAATGGAATAATATTGAATAAAACCCTTGAGCCTTGGGAATTGCCTGAGTTTCATGGCATCCTGCAGGTGGGGAAATTCAGTGCATCCTTTTGATGCCTGACCAGATTCATTGGCATCCTTGCATTCTTCCAAAAGCAACACAGAATCAAAGGTTGGAGAGTGTTTTATTAAGGAAGACCCAGGGAACATGGAATAGGAGAGGGTTGGGTGGAATCTTTTACTAGACACCCCTCCCCAGCTCCCAGCTCCTCCAACAGCAAGCCCAATGGTCAGGGCAGGGTACTCCTGCAACACCAGCCCTTGGCTCCCCAGCCCTGAGAAAGGGGCTATTTCCTTGATAAATAGGAACCACTAGAGGGATTGGAGGACCATGAAACCATCTGCATATAAGTGCATACACTTCAGTCCTGGCGAAGGGTGTCTGAGAAAAAGTTGTATGGCGTTTCCTCAACAAAGCGTTTTGGAGAGATGATCCCACTGATGAGAAAGTGTCCAGGCCGGTAGTAATTGCGAGCATCCGTTTCATCCCTGACCAGATTCAAGGGGCATTTCGCCTTGTGGTTCTTGCAGACTCCAAAGGACATCATGAAGCAGCAGAAGCAGCAACAGAAGGAGCAGGTCTCATTCTGGCTCTGCCCCTCCTCCTCTTACCTGGCCAAGGAGGGTCCCCTCAGGCGTGCAGAGAAGTCCACCTGTTGCCCCTGCACGACACCCACAAGGAGGTTGGGGGGTGCAACCCTTGCCTTGCCCTGGGCGCTGTCAACACAGGTTAGACCACTGGGACCAGCGCAGGAAGGAAATGCATAAGCCCACACCAAATTTTACACCTAGTTTGGAAGCAGCAAACTGCTCAGTAAAGTCCGCTTCTCGTGGATCCTTCATAGCCTTGCAAAGTCTGCACTGCAGCCCTTCCTCTGAGGAGGGCAGATTGAAATGTTTCCCTTTTTGTGGAGCTCAGTTTCCAAAACGAGTTTCTGTCATTCATAGAATTGTAGAGTTGGGACAGACCCCGGGGGTCCACTAGACCAACCCCCTGCAATGCAGGAATCCTGCCCACAGCCCCACGGGGCTTGGCTTGGACCACCAGCCTTCTGATTAACAGCTAGGCACCTTAAGCCCTGGAAGCCCTGGCTGCTCTTCTGAGCTGCAAATGCAGCCCTGGGGAATCTGCCCCAGCCACTCTCCTCACTCGCCCTGCTCTGCAACTGCCTCCAGGTGATTGTCGCTTCTCTGCAGGATGGATCCACGTGCAGTTACAACTCTCAGGACCGCGCTGCCAACTGCACATCCGTCGTGGTGGTCCCAGTGGGGAACGAGGTGGCCCTGGAGCAGGCTGTGGCAACCATTGGGCCGGTTTCGGTGGCCGTGGACAGCAGGAGCTTCTACTTCCATTTCTACAAGTCAGGTGAGGGGCCAAACGTTTGCAGCCTTTGGTCTGATTTTGGTGGCAGATATATTGCCATTATTAATATTGCGCAGAATGAAGCAATTAGATGCATAAAAACGGACTCCTTTTGGAATGAAAATTGTCCAGATCCATAAATATGATTCAAAGCTTTAAACAGGTACAAAACAATCAGCAATACATCCAGAAAGTTGTATAAAGCATTAGCATCAAGGATAGGCTCTTCTTAAATTATGACCAGAGCAAAAATCCACGCTGTGTCTCTGTGCAGCTCCTGGAGGTGCGACTTATCACGTCCTCCTCTCACTGTGTTTGGGTACAAAAGAGCAAGCCAGCTCCCTCCAGAATGATGAATTTGCAATTGAACACATTAACTGCATCATCTAAGGTTAAACTCCCATGTGAAGGCTAGCAGAGAATATGAACAGTTAATTATAGACTCAGCTAGATGCCTAGAGAGAGCTCTTTCTAACTTAGTATACAGTGTGCAATTATACAATTATACTTAACAAGCTAAGGGATAATTGGCAACTCCTGGGCACAGATGACTAATTTGTGGGCCTCATCTAAGGTGGGCTGCAGCAGCAGTGCCAGACACTTGTACCCTGGCCACTGTAGTCCATGCAGCGGTGAGGTTAGCGCTTGGGGCTGCCCTTTGCACCTGGTCTGGACGCGCTGGCAGGCGCAGGAATGCAGTGACAGATGCTGATGGGGGCATCTGGCCGGAGAACGAGAGACACCCTTGTTAAAATATTTGTACCGGCTGCCAACCCCTGCCAGTCATTGTTAAAGTCCTTGCATTGATTTTACAAATCTCTGAACAACTTAGGTCCAGGCTGCCTCAGGGATCACCTGAAACCCTTCTTTCCCAGCTCAGTTACTGAGATCACCTGCAGGGGCATCTGTAGGGTCGTTCCCCAACTCAGGCTCACCTGACAGCACAAGAATCCAGAACCCTATCCTATGACCTTATCCTGTGGAACTCTCTGCCACTAGTAAAGCCAGCAGGCACCGCCTGTGCTGACTTTTAAACACCTGCTGAAAACTTTTCCACTCTAGGTCTAAGCAGAGAAGGAAGAATGCATCTTCCCCACAATAGTTAGCTGATTTCTAGTTTAAACTTCTTAATATGGTTTCGCCCACTATATGGTTTTATGTACTAGTACTGTAAAGAACACACACACACATAATATTTTTATGTTGCACTGGATGTGCTTGGCTTAAAGGCCGGTTCTGTGCCTGAAAACTTCGGAACTCGGACCTTCCACATGCTAAAAACCAGGATGATGATGATGATGATGATGATGATAATAATAATAATAATTTCTTATTTCTACCCCGCCCATCTGGCTGGGTTTCTTCAGCCACTCTGGGTGGCTTCCAACAAAGATTAAAAATACATTAAAATGTCATACATTAAAAACTTCCCTGAAAACAGCCTTCAAATGTCTTCTAAATGTCAGGTAGTTGTTTATCTCTTTGACATCTGATGGGAGGGTGTTCCGCAGGTCGGGCTCCACCACTGAGAAGGCCCTCTGCCTGGTTCCCTATAATCTCACTTCTTGCAGGGAGGGAACCGCCACAAGGCCCTCGGAGCTGGACCTCAGTGTCCGGACTGAACGACGGGGGTGGAGACGCTCCTTCAGGTATACTAGGCTGAGGCCGTTTAGGGCTTTAATGGTCACCACCAACACTTTATATCAAGTTGGATGGTTGGAGAAGTTTGTACAATTATAGAGCTAGCCCATCTGTGAGGCAGAGGATGCTGCCGTTGCTCCATCTAGCTCAGTATTGTCTACACTGGCTGGCAGCAGCTCTCTGGAGTTTCAGGCCGAGGGGTCTCTCTCTCCCAGCCCCACCTGGAGATGCCATCAGGGATTGAGCCGATGTGGTAAATGCTCTACCACTGAGCTACACTCCTTCCCTTGTTAATAAAGTAAGATTCTAGTCCTCATGGGCCTGATTTAAAGAGGAAGCTGTATTATGGGAAGTCAGGCCATTGGTCTATAACATGGGTAGGCAAACTAAAGCCCGGGGGCCGGATCCGGCCCAATCGCCTTCTCAATCCAGCCCGTGGACGGTCCGGGAATCAGCGTGTTTTTACATGAGTAGAATGTGTGCTTTTATTGAAAATGCATCTCTGGGTTATTTGTGGAGCATAGGAATTCGTTTTTCTTTTTTCTTCCAAAATATAGTCTGCCCCCCCCCCCAAGGTCTGAGGGACAGTGGACCAGCCCCCTGCTGGAAAGGTTTGCTGACCCCTGGTCTATAATATGGACCTCAGGACTGTCTACACAAAGGGCTCGCCCACACTTCTGCCTGTGTGCCACAGAAAGTGTGGTCCAAGTGCTCTCCCCCTTGCCCTGCTCCTTTTCGAGGGAAAACTGGCTCTTTTGGTAATCAATTGGAACAAATGGCAAACCAGGGAAAACCCAAATTGGCTATTGAGCGCTAAAGAGCAGTTTTCTTTGGGGTGGGAGGACAAGCCCTGACTTTCAACAGCTCTTCCTTCTCCATACCCCTTCCCTCTTTGTGCATTACCCCTTCAAAGATCCGGGTGCTCTTAAAAAAATAGAACTTGGAATTTATTTACTTTTTTAAACCCAAAAAGCTTCCCATTGGAAAGTCATACTTGACACACAAAGTAGATAACTAGATTGCAGAGTGATGGTGGTGTTGAAGTGTTTGTGCAGCCGGTTATGGTCTACTCTGAGTGGTCTCAGTTGGTCATTGTTATTTTATTTGTTTATTAAATTTGTATTTATGTTAAATATGTCCCCCACATTCATATCGGAGGATCTGCTGCAAGCAAGGCTCACATTGGATGAAGCCCCCTTGGGCGCGCCTTCCTCCCCGCTTTGCCCCATTCTGATCCTGCCTCACTCCAGTCTCTTCTCCTGCCAGGGGTGTTTGACAGCTCCTCGTGTACCCAGCTGGTGAGCCACGCCATGCTGGCTGTTGGTTATGGGACGCTCCAGGACGGTGGGAACAACACGGCTTATTGGATCCTAAAGAACAGGTGACCAAAGGGGTATCTGAGCCGGGGCGGGAATGGTCGGGAAAAGCTCAGAAGAACGTGAGAGAAGCTCTTCTGTGAGGGCTGGCCCACCCATGAGGTGAGGTGAGGGAAGCGCCTCAGGGTGCAGGATCCATGGGGCAGCAGATCCAGCCTCCATAGCGGCCCCTTGGCAATGGGAAGCTCCTCTCCTCCCACCTTGGTGGTGGGACACCACTGAGTGATTGTCTCAGGTGCCCAGATGTCTTGGGCCATCTAGTCCAGCCTCCTGTTCTCACAGTGGCCAACCAGGTGCCCCCAAGCCTGGGAGCAGGATTTGGGCACAAGGGCAGCCCTCTTCTCCTCCCATGGTCGCCAGCAACCACATGTCTGAAACAGTACAGGAAAATAGTCCTGAAGCCATTTTGACTCTCCCAAATTGACCTCAAATATTTCTCTGCAAGGAGGAAGGAAATGGGAAAGCTTCCCCTTTGTCTCTTTGCTCACAAATCCTGTCTTAAGGGCATCTTTGTGCATGACTAGGGTGAGCCTTCAGGAACTAAAGTATTTGCCATTACAAAAGAATGGCTAGGCTGCCCTGGCAATGTAATCAGGAACCATTAACAGGTATCCTGACAGACAGGATGTCTGCTGGAGACCACCTCCTTCTGTGATGTATATCCTTGGGGTGGGGGGGCAATTTCAAAAGTCTACCTAAGGGCTTGCACACCATTGTTCTGGGTTCCTCCTCCCTCCTGTGTGTGGCGAGTGGGGACCCTGTTGCAACAGTTTAATACAGTGGTACCTGGGGTTACAGATACTTCAGGTTATGTGATTTCGGGTTGCGCACCGCGCCGAACCCGGAAGTACCAGAACAGGTTACTTCTGGGGTTTCGGCGCTCACGCATACATGCATGCGCAGAAGCGTCGAATCACGACCTGCGCATGTGGTTTAGACCACAGCGCCACCCGTTTCCTAAAATTATATTACAAAGTAATTATATTACGAATTATATTCCGTCTCCCATTATTAGAATGGGATACAAAAGACGAAATGTTTAAATCAAGAATATACACTGGGCTAAAGATCTGGGACATAATATGGAAATAGGAGCATGAGAAAAGCTGTGGAAAGTAGATATGAAATATACTGCTTGGTATGCTTTAAAAGTAAATTACATGAAAATTACATGTATTGCTTAAGTGATATACTTAACACCTAACCAATTATCTAAAATGTGTAAGGATATTCCTAACAATTGCTGGAAGTGTAAACCCGCAGATGGATCTTTTTTTCATATGTGATAGAAATGCAAGAAAGCGAGGGAATTTTGGGAAATGAAACATGATGAAATAAAAAAGATATCCAAAAGAGAGAAAAAAGATATCCAAAAGATATCCAAAGCGTTTTTGTTAGGGATTATAGGGGCAGAAATCCCCCCCAAAAAGTATTAAAGTTGTTTATGTAACAACAGCTGCTAGGATTTTATATGTGCAGAAATGGAAGGAAGAAGAAGTTCCCACCAACGAAGAATGGAAAAGTAAGATAATGGACTTTGCAGAACTCTCAAATTAACAGCAAAATTAAGAGAATCTAATGATGAGTGTTTTATGAACGAATGGATGCCATTTTTGGACTATTTAAAGAAATATTATAGTATGTTGAGCTTTTGATTTGAGATATGAGCAACAGAAATAATTAGATTATAATACTGTGGTTATGATTTAATAGAAGAGAAAGTGTAGCAGAAGGAGAAGAACAACAACTCTATGGAAAACTGGGAAGCAGATAAAAAAATCAAGAAAAGATGAAATTGTGTTTTGATTGTATATGCTAAACATCTGAAAACTTAACAAAATATAATTTTTAAAAAGAGATTTCACCCCCTTAAAAATATAAAGCGGTATGGAAATGAAACTACTACTACTGACAATATACAGTTATGATGGTGATAATGGCTTTGAGGGTTTGGGGGGCTTTTTTTTTTTACAATCAAGTGTTATATAAATTGCATGAAATAAAATAATGTACTGATCCCTCCTTTCTCTCTCTTTCTGTCAGCTGGTCTGAGAAATGGGGAGAGCAAGGCTACATGCGATTGGTGAAAGGCACTGGCAATCACTGTGGCATAGCCAATCAAGCCAGCTACCCCGCCCTGTAAGCTTCTCAAGAGCCAGAATCCCACCCCTCCTGACCTGCCCCACCTGAACCTGTTGCACAGCTGTGAATCCTCAGTTGCTGAACATGCAATTTCACGTTCTCTGAGAAAAGCTGAAATTGCAAAGGAAATCATGTACAGTGGTACCTCGGGTTAAGAACTTAATTCGTTCCGGAGGTCCGTACTTAACCTGAAACTGTTCTTAACCTGAAGCACCACTTTAGCTAATGGGGCCTCCTGCTGCTGCCGCGCTGCCAGAGCACGATTCCTGTTCTCATCCTGAAGCAAAGTTCTGAACCTGAAGCACTATTTCTGGGTTAGCGGAGTGTGTAACCTGAAGAGTATGTAACCTGAGGTACCACTGTACTATTATTACCTGCTGGGCTTCCTGACTCTGCCCTGTTCCTTAGATGTTGTTTTTTAAATGTCTCTGTCCTGCATATAATTCTGATGCACACTTTATCCTTCTATTGCTTTCCATTTGGCAGCAGCAACCTGCATTTTGTTGCCTTATTAAATAAATGTGGAATTCTGAAATGCCTGTTGGTGCCAGAAACTGTGATGAACTTCTTGGGGAAAGTGGCAAATGAATATTTTAATAACTCGGTCGGTTGAGCATGAGAATCTCAGGGTCATGAATTCGAGCCCCACGTTGGGCAAAAAGATTCCTGCATCGCAGGGGCTTGGGCTAGACTCCAGGATCAATGAATGCCATCTGCATGATACAGGATTTGACCACACGTGGGTGGATTTCCTACACCCTGGGGATGTTTGGAAGTTAACACTTAGTTAACAATGCTTTTCTAGCATTTGCTGGATTTCAGTTTGACATTGTGTGTGTGTGTGTGTGTGTGTGTGTGTGTAAAAGTGCTTCATAGCATGAAATGTGGTCCAGCTACCATCAGAGCAGCAGGGCCACAGTTTATAACTGGATTCCTCTCCAAACATTATGGCCTTTCTACATTGAGGACATTGTTCTTGCTGTCCATCCTGACATGTTGTGACAAAGAATTGTAGGGGGACCCCAGGGTCATCTAGTCCAACCCCCTGCAATGCAGGAATCTCGACTAAAGCATCCTTGACAGATGGCCATCCAACCTCTGCTTAAAAATCCCCAAGGATGGAGAGCTCATCACCTCTCATGGGAGTCTGTTCCACTGTCAAACAGCTCTCACTGTCAGAAAGTTCTTTCTGATGTTTAGTTGGAATCTCCTTTCTTGTAACTTGAAGTCATGGGTTCGAGTCCTGCCCTCCAGAGAAGGAGAAAACAAGCTGGCTCCTCCTTCCATGTGGCAGCCCTTCAGATATTGGAAGATGGCTCCCATATCTCCTCTCAGCCTCCTCTTTTCCAGCTCCTTCAACCGTTCCTCATCAGGCTTGGTCTCCAGACCCTTGATCATCTTGGCCTCCCTCCTCTGCACACCTTCCAGCTTGTCAACATCCTTCTTAAATTGTGGTGCCCAGAACTTGACGCAGTCTTCCAGGTGTGGTCTGACCAAGGCAGAAGAGAGTGGGACTATGACTTCCCTTGATCTGGACACTAGACTTCTGTGGATGCAGCCCAAAATAGCATTAGCTCCCCCCCCCACTGCTACATCATACTGTTGTTAAGCTTGTGGCCCCACTAGGACTCCTAGTTCCTTTTCTCATGTACTACTGAATGCCAGGCGTCCCCCATCTTATATTTGTGCAGCTCTACACTTAGGCAGGTTATTTTTTTGTACTTTTGTGTATGCAAACCACTTTGAGATCCTTTAGATAAAGTGGTCTTTAAATTGAAATAATATTATATTTGTTGGCATCCATCTGTCTTGAGAAACATTGGAGTATGCCTCTAGGGGGTGAAGTCAAACTGCACTAGCAGCACTGAAGTGACCCCCACAGGGCACAAGCCTGGGCAGTGTTTCTGAAGGTCCTGGGCTGTCCAGATGACAAGATTCCGGTACTTTTGGGTTCGGCACAACCCGAAATCGCACAACCCAAAGCATCGTTAACCCGAGGTATGACTGTAGTTTTGAAAACTGTTGATTTCACCTGTCTTTTGATAATTTTTTATTGTCCCTGGCTGTTTTATAAGTTTGATTTTATCAGCAATTTCATATATTGTTTTATGTACTGTAAATCGCTTAGAGGTGGGTGGTTGTTTCTTTTGATTCAGCAATGTCTCCAATAATTTTTACACATCTCTTGGGAAGACAGGCGAACTAATGCTAGTGTACTGGAAGAAGCAAAGATCACCTGTGTCGAAGCAATGATTCTTCAACATCAGCTTTGTTGTACTGGCCGTGTTGTGCAGATGCCTGATTATTGTATTCCAATCTAAATAAAAGGGTAAACTTGCACACTGGCCAGTTTCCGTTTTGACTTGAAATGTTTGTTTCGGGACTCACTGCAACGACACCCGCCTGAGAGAACCCAGGGCTCCCCTGGCACCCACTACTCATAACTCTAGCAAAGGAAGCTAAAATGAGTAGCAGGGATATTCTATCTGCATGAGCCTTTGCAAACTTATTTCTCTCCAGATATTTCAGGCGGCTCTTCCTATCGGCCCCAGCCGGAACAGTTTTGGACTACAACTCCCATCAACCCCCAGTCAGCAAATCTGTTGGATGCTGCCTTCAAATCATCTGGAAGGCATCTGTAGGCTTATAGATAAACTTGGCACAATAGTTATCAACAGCCTTGCCACTTGTGCTTCTAATAACTGCTTTAAAATGAAGGGGGGGGGGAATACTGAATAACTCACATTCCCACCCCCATTTCTGGTCAGTTAGCCTACCTCACAGGGTCGTTGTGAGAGAATCAGGAATGCCCCTTGCTAAACAAAAATTGCTCCAAGAAGTGTTAAATGGGGGAACACACACACACACAGAGAGAGAGAGAGTGCACAGCCTTGGGGAAGTTTCGGGAAGCCTGTTTTGTCATTCTGGATGTTCTGTCCGGGATGTGTGACAGGAGGGGAAATCCGAGCCAGTGGAGGGGGGGGCTGTTATGGGAATCCGGCCCTTCTTAGGAGAAAAGGCTTCCTGAGATCAGCTGTGAGCCAGGAAGTGAGGGGAAGGCCAGCGGTTGAGACAAAACCACAGAAGAACCTCCTGAAGAGAGACGGGGTCGGTAACCAGCCCAGACTCGGAAGGCAAAATCTTTGCTACTGGTGAGTCCCCCCCACCCTTAAAAATAAAAATGACAGCAGCATGCAATGCAGTGCCTTTAACAAATCATAGCATAAAAGGATCTTTGCCCCAATGAGCCTGCAATGGCATCGCATGCCTGTTGCTCTCCCAATGTTCCCGGGGGCCACCCCATCTCCCCCTTAGGACTGAACTTTGGGGCCCTCGCTAGTCATGGAGAGCTGGGCTAACCTGTCAATTTTGGTTTCTCTCATATTCTCATATTTTCCAGCCTTGAGTTCAGTCCTTGACATCAGTTTGCAATTAAAACATTTCTCTCTCTCAGCTGCCAATTTTAATTGTCTAATTTTAATTATGTTTTTAGTTACTTGTTTTGACTGTTGATAATTTTAATATTTTGTTTTATAATTTTGTAAATCATTTAGAGGTGTTGTGGTTTTTTAATTTAAGAAAAAATCTAATGGTTTACAAATTTTGTTAAATAAAATGAATGCTAGGTGCCCCCCCCCGCTCACTCTGCTTGCCACCCCTGCCTACCCGCCAACCCCTCCTGCCTTTACACTTCACTCACCTATCATCTCCCAGCTTGCCCCAAACATTTCCTCTTCCCCTCTCAGCTTGCCCCTGATCACCTGGGCAACCTGCCATCATGCTAAAGTTCACCACCTCCTGGCAGCCACATGAACTACAGTGTGATGACAGCCTTGCATTTGTATGTATATAGGAATAAAGACCATTTGTGCCTGTAAAAGCTTTCAGGTAGTCATACTGCTTCACTTGCAATTGGTGGGCATCCTCTTGTTTCCTGCTAAAATCTTGTAAGTTTTAATAACACAAATTTTCCTGAGTTGTAGTTTCTTGTCCTACTTTTGTTGCACTGTGGTACAAGAGTGCCACTCCAGACGGCAATAATGTGGTAACATTGCAGAACTAATAAACCAGAATGACCTGTGGATGGTCCAGTGTAAATCTACCATTCCTGTAATGCACTCCTACTGCATCAATAACACGCTACAGAATATACCCACCCAAAAACCAGCCGTCTGGAGGGGTCCTTCTTAGTTAAGTTGTAAGCTTGGAAAATACTGCATATTAGTATTAGACTCTTTCACACAGGATTCGGAGCTGCACAAGCACTGAAGGAAGATGCAGCGGATAATACTGACAATCTCATTTGTCCTGTCACCCGGTTTCCCTTCCCAAGAGGACATTGTTTGGTTCAACGGATCAAAAGGTATGGCAGGGAGAGAGGCAACTGGTGGGAGAGGCTTGGCAGTGTGGCTGCTTTGCTGCTCCAAAGCTGCATGCAAATTCTCCAGAGCTCTCCATGAGGTCTAGCACCTTGCGTCCTGGAGCAACTCTTGCCATATCATCCAGAGGACCCCTTTCCAACCTTTTAATACTGTGTTGGGTTAAAACTGGTGGGATCCCCCAGTCTTGAAACTCTTACTTAGCAGCCCCTGTGGTCCCCTTTAATTTGTGTTGTGGTTAATTTGGGGGCTTCACTGCACATTTCAGTGCATTGTGTAGAATTATCAAGAGTTGGAACAAATCTTCTACTGCCCAAATTGCAAGCTTGGGGTGCCTATCTATTATTATTGTTGTTGTTGTTGTTGTTGTTGTTGTATTTGTATTATTAAATGGGTCTGGGAAGGCTCCCTTGTAGTCCCAGCAAGTCATAGCAAGGTCACATTGAAAACTTTTATAGGGGATCAGACATTGGTGTTATTGTCCTGGTTCAAAGGCCATATGAAGGGATATCCTTGATGTTTCCCATGTACACTTAGTAGCTGAGCAGCAGACTGAGCAGACACAGTCTACAGCACCAGGGCAAGAGGCACTGAAGCAGCTCAGCCCAGCTAACCAAGACCGCTGAGTACAGGGCAGTATAACAACAGCAACAACCTCACGGGGTCATTGTGAGAATAGAAGGCTGAGAGGTGATATGAGAGCCACCTTCAAATATCTGAAGAGCTTCATATGGAAGATAAAGCAAGTTTGCTTTCTGCTGCTCCAGAGAGGAGGACCTGAATTAACTGATTCAACTGACAATAAAGGAGATCCCAACTAAACATTATTCAGATAGTAAAAGCTGTTGGCCAGTGGAACGGACTCCCTCAGAAAGTGGTGGCCTCTCCTTCCTTGAAGGTTTGTAAACAGAGGCCAGAGGACCATCTGTCAGGGATTCATTAGCTGTGGTTCCTGCATTGTAAAGGTTTGGACTAGATGACCCTTGGGAGTCCCTCCCAACTCTATAATTCTATGATTGTAAGAAAATAGGAGTTCTTTCTTGTATTCTACTTGTAAGCTCTGGAATAAAAGATAAGTGCTGCAAGCTTATCTCTTCCTCTGATGCAATACCACGCAACTGTTGTATATTATTAATTGTTCCCCCCTTCCATTGTTCTTTTTTGGGGGGTGGGGGGAACACAGGAGTTCCACTAGACCAGCAGTACGCCAGCCTTGGGGCGCCTGAAGTCCTCTTGCATTGCCCCGTCCCTGAAGGCAATTCCACGGTGGGATGGAAAATGAGCAGCACGTTCCGTGGGATTTTGAAGGCAGTGAGGAGAGATGGCAGCCTTGTTTTGCAGAACGCCAGCCTGGCTCAGAATGGGGAATACAGTTGCCATGATCTCGCCACTGGGCGGGTGCTGCGGAGAATTCATCTGAAGCTGGGCTGTGAGTAGAAAAAGACCATTGCAGTCCACATTCCTTGTGTCTCAGGTTCTTGATGTTTGGTCTTTTGGGACTCTGCCCCCACTAAGAGTCTGCCTTTCTGTAATCCAGGATTTCCCAAACTTGGGTCTCCAGCTGTTGTTGGACTACAATTCCCATTATCCCTAGCTGCAGGACTAGGACGATGGGAACTGTAGTCCAAAAACAGCTGGAGACCCAAGTTTGGGAAACCCTACTTTGAATTGGTTGGAAGAGGAATCAAAATTCAGCGTAGCACTTAATTGCATGCTATCGTGCAATGCCTTTCCCATGCCGAAGATTCTTCTATAGTATTTTCTTAGAAATAGGTCCTGCTCACCAAAGGCCCCTGCAATGTTTATTAGAAGCTTGCTCCTTGGGTCTTCTTCATCTTAAGGCATCGGCTGCCCCTTAATTTGGTCTGGTCTTGGTCTGTGGGAGGTGACTTAAATCACTAAGCTTCTTTCAATTTTTAAAAATTGGAATAGAGGGGGGATTTGCGGGGGGTGGGGTGGTAAATTAGGAAACAAGTACCTGTAATCTGCCACTTGGGGTGCTGATGGCAGGAAAATGGGAACAGAATAAGTAAAGGCATAAGAGAGAGCAATTCAGCAGTGCTTTTGCAATTGGTTGTAGAAGCCACAAGGAATAAGCTTCTAATTAAAGGCACAGTAGGGTTTAAAAGTTATAACGTCCACAGGAATTTACCCTTAGCCATGGCAACATCCTAATGATTTGGTTTTTGTTTCAATTTACCATATACCATAATTGGCAGGGAAGGTAAATGTCACAGAGGTCCCCATTATTAAAAAAAAGAGGGTTTCATACCTATGAATATCCTATTGCATCAGCTGGGCAGCAACTTTTCTTTTCAGTTTCCCAGTCTCAAACTCAACAAAGTTGCCAACTGACACCAGTACCTCAATTGCTGTTTTTGCACTTTCTTTTGAGATAATCACATGTCCCACAATGGCATTATTCCCTGTGTTTGTGGTGTTTATTGTGTTAAAAATCCATTTACACTTTGTTCAAGACTGCTTTCAACCATTTTCAGGGTGGCTTATAATGCCTGTTTAGTTCTTTTGCATATTTCTTGTAGAATTGCTGTCCAAAAGGGTTGGATCAAAATCCCACTACATGTGGAGGTATGTGCCTGTAGAGCTGCAGCCTCTCCAGCCCAATTAAAAAATGGAAAGAAGCTTAGTGATTTAAGTCACCTCCCACAGACCAAGACCAGAGCTTCCTGGTTGTGTCAGCACTAATTTCTGTGGTGTTAGGTACCATCTATAAGTAAGTTCCTTTCTTTTAGCTAAGATGGCTTTCAAGGGAGGTTTAGACCACATTTTAGTCTATTGGGTAGGGTTTATTTCGTAGCCTATGTCGTGCTCCTATTGTTTTTTTATTGTGTTGAGGGATTCTGGAGAAGTATCTTGTATACTGTGGATACCATCTTCTAGCCGTGTCCCTCTGCTGTCAGGCAAAGGTTTTCAAATGTGGTCAAGGGCCTAGTGGCTACTGATTTTACTGCTGGATTAAGAAGGTGTGGTGTGTTAGCCAAGGTATTTGGGTGTCCCCTAGTTTTGTCTTTGTGGTGTTGGTGAACAAAAATTATTCTTGAAGTGATGTGGAACATCTTAGCTGAATATGAAAATGAAAAATGTGTTTGTTGGTTGACATTTTCATGGAATTACTCAAATGTAACTGTCTCCCCACCAGATAGTAAAGTGGAGAGAGAGCAATGACCAAAATGGGTCATGTGACTCATTGACTGGGTAAACACCATGCATTTAATGCATAATTTCCCACCCACAGAACCCTGGGAACTGTCAGGGACTGGGCAGATGAGAGTGTGGTGCAGTGGCAGATCCTCCTTCCCCTAGGACCAGACAGAATTAAGAACATTGTCCTTAGCAGCCACCATAGGCAGCTGGAGGGGTCTGGTTGCTAGGAAGCAGCTAGAATTGGCAGTATTACATGTGCCACATAAAACCCATTCTACACATGTAAGAAATCAATCTTTTAGTGTGGCAGCACCTACACTTTGGAACTCCCTGCCTCTAGATATCAAGAAGGTGCCTTCACTGTATTATTTTGGTGCCTGCTAAAAGCCTTCCTTTAGACAAGCCTACCCAGAGGCTTAGAAATAATAATAATAAAATAAAATAAAATAATAATAATAATAATAATAATAATAATAATAATAATAATAATAATAATTTATTATTTATACCCCGCCCATCTGGCTGAGTTTCCCCAGCCACTCTGGGCGGCTCCCAATCAGTGTTAAAAACAGTACAGCATTACATATTAAAAACTTCCCTGAACAGGGCTGCCTTAAGATGTCTTCTGAATATCAGGTAATTATTTATCTCTTTGACATCTAATGGGAGGGCGTTCCACAGGGCGGGCGCCACTACCGAGAAGGCCCTCTGTCTGGTTCCCTGTAGCCTCACTTCTCGCAATGAGGGAACCGCCAGAAGGCCCTCGGCGCTGGACCTCAGTGTCCGGGCTGAATGATGGGGGTGGAGACGCTCCTTCTCGGTAGTGGCGCCCGCCCTGTGGAACGCCCTCCCATTAGATGTCAAAGAGATAAATAATTACCTGATATTCAGAAAGTCAAGGTGATTTGAATCTGTTGTGGTCTTTTAACTTTTGTATGCTTTAAAGAATGGTTATGGATTCCCCCCCCAGTTTTATTGATTTATTATTGATGGTGTTTCCTGCTTGGCAGGGGGTTGGACTCGATGGCCCTTGTGGTCTCTTCCAACTCTATGATTCTATGATCTTTTTTTTTTGTAAACCTCCTTGAGGGTTTTTTTTATATACTATCAAGCAATGCATAAATTTTATGAAATAATTAATTAAGCCACCTTTTCTGCTCCTCCCCTTTTCTCCAGACCCACCTGATAAGCCTTTAGTATGGTGCTGGTCCACCACCTACCCAGCCATCAATTGCTCCTGGAGGTTGGAGACAAAGACACACCTGCCTACTTTTTTTTCCTCCACGTACAGGTAAAAAGGAGAAACTCCCTCTTATTGGTATCATAGATACAGCTGTGGCAATTCGGCTTCTCTCTTCACAGAAACGGAGCAAACAATATTTATCAAATTAAAGTGAAGCTTTCAGAAGGGCTGCGGGGCTACCCAGGGCGCTCATAAAGCAACTTGTTTCCTTAGGTGTCATGGACTGGTTGGACACAGGGATGGTGGGAGGAACCAGCTAGAAACCCCAAGGGAAGAAGGCTCAGAGCCCAGGGACTGCAGGTGGGACGACAATGAGTGGTCAGAGGAGGAAGAGGGAGCAGACTGAGAAAAGGTGTCAGAAGCTGAGGAGGCAACAGGTTTTAGTGAGCAGGGAGAGTCTGTGGCAGAGAGAAGTCCAGAATCAGAGGCAGAAGAGGAATCTGGAGAGGAGGAGACTTAGGCAGCTGTGGGGAGCCAGGGACCTTTAGTCTCAGCAACTGATCCATAGGGCAAGAATTGCTGTGCTCGTGAGGCCTGACACTCATGTGCAGCTCCTGTTTTCCTAATATAGAGTTAACTCCAGCTCGCTTGGGGTGATTCGTTGCTGGTTTGCTCTTGTCACTAGGTGGCCTGGGCAGCCCATGCTAATCTCTGATTTCTTTGCAATCCAGGCTTGGCATGGGAGGTGAAGTAAAGGAGTGTGTCCAAGCTACCACAGTGGCCAACAGCTGCTCTATTGACAATGTCCAGATGTTCTCTATCAATCCCTATGTGCTGAATGTAACAGCGGTGAACCCCCTGGGGGCAGCAACGACCCACTACTACTTCTTCCAGAATGAGATCCGTAAGTTTTCATAGAATCACAACACATGATTTCCTGCAACTTTTCTAAGGGAAGGAAACAGGATTCATGCTGACGGCAGTAACATGCTGTTGCTCTTTAGACATTGCTGGACTACAGCTTCCATCATCGCTGACCATTGGTCATGATGGCTGGGGCTGATGAGTCACTAGCCAAGACCTGGCCACACTAGCTAGCCCAAAGAAGGATCCCTGGTCCTCTGGTGGAGGCAGATGAGCAAGAGTCTTCCACTGCTTCATTGGGGCAAAAGTCTGTACAGTGCAGAGATAGGGAACTTGTCCATCACTGGGGGATTAAAAAGGTTTCAAGCCACAAGGGTGACAGAAACAGGTTTGTAGGTTCAGAGTTTTGAGGGCACGTTGTGTTATTCAGAGTGGCTTTTACAGGGCATGCAGGATTGACTCCGAATGTTGTCCACATTAACACCACACATTTATAGCGCTTTAAACAAGCATGGCTTCCCCCAAAGAATCCTGGGTAATGCAGTTTGTAAAGGGTGCTGAGAGTTGTAAGGAGGGCTCTATCCCCCTCAGAGCCACAATTCCCAGAGTTCCTCGGGAAGGATTGTTAAACCTCTCTGGAAACTGTAGTTCCATGAGGGGACTAGTGGGGTCTCCTAACAATCCTCAGCACCCTTAACAAACTACAGTTCCCAGGATTCTTTGGGATCCATAACCATTTAGTGCCTGGTGTGAAGGTGGCACCGCAGGCCACACCTGCTTCTTCCATCTCTCCACTTGCTTGCTTGTTTTGTATTATTTTCTCTGCACTGGCTTTGTCTTAGTCAAGCCTGACCCTCCAGAAGACTTGACCGTCTCCCAGATCCCGGGCCAGAGGAAGAAGATACTTTTGGGGTGGAAGCCCCCCAGCTCCTGGAAATTCCCAGAATACTTCCCCCTCAAATACTTGATCCGTTACTCAGGGGATGGAACCAACACCATCAAAACGGTGAGAGAGAGCCCCATATATGAGTCAGGGCTCTGTAGCTTTAGGACAAAATTGCTGCGCTTCCTTTATTTGACCGTTGTGCTTCTTCTTGCAGCCCTTCCTTTAATGCTTTGGTGCACAGGCTGCTGGCTTATTGGAGATAATAGAAATAGTAGTGCTAGTAGTGCTAGTAGTAGTGTAGCAAATGGTCAGGCCAGTCAAATGACCAGCAAGAAAGCTTTAATTGTTTGCCGGCAGCAAGCAATGGCACCGAGGAATAAGTTCCGAAGTCCGGCCCTCCCAACAGGGGAGGCTTCCCTTTAGACAGTCTTGAATCAGGTCTTTATCCAGTCAAAAGTTACAGCATTGCACATACTCTGATAGATACATTAGGTTCCGCCTGGAGACGGGGCATGAGGAGTTGGACATGACCCTTCCATGTACTAATTTGGTAATCCTTATCAGCCTGTCTCTGTGTGTCTCTGGGTCGTGGGTGTCTGGGTGTATTTATTGGATATGGGGACCTGGCCGAGAGCAACAAAATGGCTTCCTTGCTTAATATTTTAACTCTCAAAATGGCTTCCCTGAGCACATTGCCACAGTAGTAGTAGTAGTAGCAGCAGCAGTGATTTATTTTTGTACCCCAGCCACTCTAGGCGGCTTCCAATGTAATATCGTGGCCCACTTGGATACGAGTCAGACTATCAGCTAAGCATGGCTGTAAGTCTGAAACACGGTTGCCAGCAGGACCTGTAAGAAATTGTGCTGTGAATTTTAGGCGAGGGGGGTCCAAATACTGTGATACCTTGGTTCTCAACTTAATCCATTCTGGAAGTCCGTTCCAAAACCAAAGCATGCTTTCCCATAGAAAGTAATGTAAAATGGATTCATTCGTTCCAGACTTTTAAAAACAACCACTAAACAGCAATTTAACATGAATTTTACTATCTAATGAGACCACAGATCCATAAAAGGAAAGCAATAAACAATGTACTGCAGTCACACAATCAATCCATCAGTTCCACACAGTCACAAAAACAAAACAAAAAAGCCACAAAAACAAAAACGCAAAATAAATAGCAAAAACAGACAGACTTCAGTGTAACACTCAAAATGGAAGTGTGTCACTCAAAACGGAGCATGCTCAGCTTCCAAAAGAAGTTTGCAAACCAGGTTTGCAGTGTTTGGGTTCCAAGTTGTTTGAGTGCCAAGGCGTTTGAGAACCAAAGCACCACTGTAGAAGGGTATATAATTAAGCAGGGTGAGTGGGCAGAGAAAGCTTTTTCTCTCACTCTCTTGACACTAGAACTCGGGGACCTCCGATGAAAGTGAATGTGGGAAGATTCTGGATAAAAGAAGCCCCTTCTCCACACATTCCCACAGGAAGCAGCGATGGGCACTGTCAGGGGCTCAGGAACAGAGGCACAGGGGAGAGAGGAAATGGAGAGCGAGGGGGAGGAATCTGAGGGCAGCGGAGGGCAGAATGACAGTGACCCGAGAGATTCCATGAGCCTCTCCAGTGAATCAGAAGATTCCCAGAAGGGGGCGCCGATGGCCAGGGCAAGGGGGGTCCCAGGGAGGACACACCAGAAGCAGGGGGCCAGTGGAGACTCCCAGAGCAGTAGCTGGAAATCAGGGCCAGCTTCCCCACCGGAGCGTAGTGGGGGGGAAGAGTCCCATAGGTCAGAGTCAGCGTCTCCTCCAGCAAGCAGGGAGGAGGAGTCAGGCACAGCTAGTGTCCCCGAAGAGGGGAGCAGCGACAGGAGCAGTATAACGGTCAGAAGGAAGGTGGCAGGCTGGGCGTGCGCGCCAAGTTCAAATGTACAGGCGCGCGGGACAGCAGGAAGCCCGGATTGGGAACCAGGTCCTAAAGCCCGCCGGAGGGAGGGGGAAGACTCGGGGGAGTCAGCGTCAGAAGAGTCTAGAAAGGGGAAAACCCTGGCGGACAGGCGGACCCAGAGGAAGAGGGAGCAGAGAAAGAGGTGGAGCAAGGCTAGGGTCTTAAACTGGTGTCTGGGGGGAGGAGACTCAGACGGAGCTTCGGCGGTCTAGGGTTTAAGACGTAGAGCTGCGCGCCGTGGTTGTAAATGAGAAACTGAACTTCAATAAAAACTATTTAATATAACAACGGACTGGCGTTGGTCCTCTGTGAGCTGGGACCAGGGGCAGCTCTGACAGTAAGCTCCGTCTCCACAATTTAACCCTCGCAGCGCGAGTTGGCGCAGCGAGGGGCAAAACTTGGTGTTTTGCGAGCTCACGAAGAGAGGGAAAAATGACTACAGAGGCGAAGGTGAAAGAGCTGGAACAAGCGGTTCAGACACTTTACGCACAAGTGGAACTTTCCAGGAAGAGAGAGGAAGAAGCAGCAGCTTTCTGTGAGGATCTGCGGACCAGGTGGGAAAAATTGGGCAAGGAGGGACTGCCAGGACCCAAACCGGAGGGAGTTGGCCTCGGGAAGAGGGGGGGGGGCAGAATCGTAGCCCATTTTGACGGGAACCTGCAGCAGTATCCTAACTTCAGAGCAGACATAGTTTTCGCGCTCAAATTGCTTCGGAAAGACTTTAGAAACGAGGAGGAGAAAGTGGGCTTCATAATAACTCATCTGCATGGGGAAGCTAAATCGTGGCTGCGCACTTTATGGCGCGAAAATGACCCCGCCCTCAATGATTCAGACACATTTCTCAAAGCTATGGACGCTTGTTTTAAATCGACGGTAGATGTGGATGTCGCCAGGAGGGAAATGCATGGGTTGAAACAGGGCAAAAGCACTGTAAGACAATATCACTCCCACTTTTTTTGGATTGGTAAATGTGCTCGCGTGGGAGAAGAATTCCGCTGCCGTGAGAGATCTGTTCTGGGAAGGACTGAATGGGGCTGTGAAAGACGAGCTGGCAAGGGGGGAGAGACCCACCACCACCACGGAGGTCATACAAAGAGCCCTTGCGGTAGGAGTGCGCCTGGAAGAACGCCCTTGGAACAGGAATGAGGGAGGTTTAGGGCGCACGCAAGCCAGGACAACTCCTTTCCTACCCAGAGAGACGGGACGCGCGGAAACCACGCCTCCATTGGGGAGGGGAGAAGAACCAATGGAGATAGGCGGTGCTAGGGCTCAGACAGCAACCAGAGCCCAAACACCAGGAGCAGTCAAGGCGAAGACTCTAGAGGGAATAGGAAGTGCTACATCTGCGACAGTGTGCAGCACATGGCCAAAGAGTGTCCCCAGAGGATCCAGAAGCACACTGCAGCCTCAGCAACAGTAAGGGGGGCAGATCGACAGGAGGAACAGCTACAGGGAAACGACGAAGCCTGGTTGGAGGGAGAGGCGCTGGGGCCCAGCCAGGCAAGTCAGTGAAGCAGTCCTCAGAGATTTTACAGCCCACAGATCCCCTCCCACCCAAACCAGTGGTGCAACTCACCGCATCGCTCCAACTGCCAAATGGACTCACCCTGGAAGTTCCTATTACCATTGACTCTGGCAGTAATGCAGATTTTATAGGAGTGGACTTTATCCGGCAACATCGCATAGCGCTCTTACCAGCCACAATGCCCCTGAACGTAGTCACGGTCGATGGCAGGGAGCTACTGGAGGACAGGTGGCACAACAAACGCCCCCTATGGTGATGCAAATTGGAAATCACCGCGAAGTCATAAGCTTCAACGTCACCCACCTGTCGGACACACCCATAGTGTTGGGCATGAGTTGGCTGGATAGGCACAGTCCGGCATTGGCATGGTACCAGCGTCAATTGACCTTCGGCTCCTCCTACTGTGCGGAACATTGCATCCAGCCCAGCCAGGAAGAGCAGGGGCAGGAGGATGAACCACAGCTACACCTAGGCATGGTGCAAGCAGTACCGAACAAGTACAAGGCGTTTTTGGAGGTCTTCTGCGAGAAGGAAGCGGACAAGCTGCCGCCCCACAGGCCCTACGACTGCAAGATTGACCTCCTGCCGGGGGCGCCGCTGCCTACTGGGAAACTGGTATTCCATGTCTGAAGACGAACTACAAGAACTCAGGGAGTTCATAGATCACAACCTGAAGCGGGGATTCATCCAAGAATCCAAAGCAGTGGGGGGCAGTCCCGTGTTTTTCGTCAAGAAAAAGGACACGCCCCAAAAAAGGCTGATAGTTGATTACAGAATCATAAATTCCAAAACAAAAGCCCACAGCTTTCCCCATGCCCAAGATAGACGACCTGCTCGCTACGGTGAGGAAGGGACGGATCTTCACCAAGTTGGATTTACGAGGAGCGTACAACCTTATACGTATGAGGGAAGGCGATGAGTGGAAGACGGCCATGTTTACACCTTTGGGCACCTATGAATATCGAGTTATGCCATTTGGTCTCCAAAACGGCTCTCCACTGCTTCCAAGCTTTTATGCACCACGTGTTAGCGGGACTCCTCTACAAGAAGTGCGTCTGCTTCCTGGACGACATCCTGATCTTCTCGGAATCGCAGGAAGCTCACGAGGGCGACGTCAAGGAGGTCCTGCAGAGACTACGGGAGCACAGACTTTACGCCAAGCTGGAGAAGTGCCAGTTTGACATGATGGAGGTGGATTTCCTGGGCTACAAGCTATCCGACAAGGGACTCGCCATGGACAGCGCCAAGGTCCGTTCGGTGTTGGACTGGAAGAGCCCGCGCAATAGGAAGGAGGTCCAGAAGTTCATCGCTTCGCCAACTTCCTATCGCAAGTTCATCAAAGGGTTTGCGATGGAAACGGTGGCCATCACGGACACCCTCAGCTCCAAGAAGAAGTAGTTCACCTGGACGGATCAGGCGGAGCAGTCCTTTCGGAAACTCAAGCAGCTCTTCGCGTCCGAAGAACAACTGCTGCATGTAACCCCAGCAAGCCAATGCGGGTTGAAACGGACGCCTCGGACAGAGCGGTGGGGGCGGTCCTGTTGCAGCAAGACCCGCAGGGGGATTGGAGGCCGTGCGCATTCTACTCCAGGAAACTCAGCAAGTCGGAACAAACTACACCATCTGGGACAGGGAGTTGCTGGCCATTCAAGCAGCCCAGGCAGTGCCAGCCAGAACGTTAGCTAAGAAGAAGCTTAGACACAAGCAGCTAGGGCCTTACAAGTTCGAAGGCGCAGATCAATCAAGTGGCCTTTCCGGTTGACGCTCCCGGAGGGTTCCAGAATGCACCCGTCTTTCACAGGTCGGTGCTCACACCCTAAAAGGAGCCCCACAGGTTTCAGACCCCAAGGGCCGACCAGACCACTCAGCAAATCACCAACAGGGGAGGGGTCACCAAGGGCGGCACCACTCAACGAGGTCACGGAGATTTTGGACTCGAGATGGGGGGAAGAGGGAGTT